TGTGTGTTATTTTTTTTTTTTCTTTTTTATGTATATACAGAAAAATGCTAAAGTTGTAACGATCGATAGCTATGAGGACGTGCCTACATATAACGAGAAAGCCCTTCAGAAAGCGGTTGCCAACCAGCCAGTGGCTGTTGCCATCGAAGCCGGTGGCAGAGACTTCCAACTCTATGAATCAGTAAGTAGTATCCTTTCTGTTCTTTCACAAAACCTACGAAACATTCTATGGTTGTGAAGAAATAAATTAATTATTAAAATTTTGACCTGTCTGTCAGGGCATCTTCACGGGAAGGTGTGGGGTCCAGCTGGACCATGGGGTCGCAGCCGTAGGGTACGGCACGGAAAACGGCAAGGACTACTGGATTGTGCGCAACTCGTGGGGGTCCTCTTGGGGGGAGAAGGGGTACATCCGTATGGAGCGAAACGTGGGTGCGAAATCGGGCCTTTGCGGGATAGCAGTTGAGGCCTCTTACCCGACCAAGACAGGGGAGAACCCGCCCAATCCAGGGCCTTCTCCACCCTCCCCTGTGGCCCCGCCTTCTGTGTGTGACGACTATTATTCGTGTCCAGAGAGCACCACTTGCTGCTGTGTGTATGAGTATGGCAATTATTGCTTTGCATGGGGCTGCTGCCCGCTCGAGGGGGCCACTTGTTGTGAGGACCATTATAGTTGCTGCCCGCACGAGTATCCCGTTTGCAACATTTCTGCTGGCACCTGTTCCATTGTGAGTCTGTCTCTTTTTTTTTTGGCGATATCTCTCTTTCCATATTTACGAATTCGTGATTTGAATTAATTAATGCAGAGTAAGGATAACCCACTTGGGGTGAAGGCAATGAAGCACATTCTTGCCAAGCCAATTGCGACTTCCGGCAAGGATGGGAAAAGGAGCAGTGCTTGAGAATTATACGTTATCTGCAAATCTCGCGAGGATGAATGGTCAGATCAGCAAGTTATTTGGGTACCCAAACTTTGAAGTGGTGTCTAGATTGCACCTTGCTTGACTGAATGCCACCTCATCTTTCGTTGAGGGAAGGCTACAAATAAGTTTATGGTTATAGTAAATGTCTGCTTCTGAACATTCCGACATGGTGAACAGCAAAAACTGATAATTGTGGTCTGATTATTGTACAGTTTTTACTTTCCATTTTAGTAATGAAGAAAGCCGTGGCTTTGATCAGCCTGGCCTGTATCAACAATTTATGATTGTAATTTGGTTCATACATTTGATGATGCTTTAATATTCTGTGGTATTTCAATTTCCAGTATTCACCTGAAATGAAATGTGGTGTTGCAATCATTGTTTTAAATAGCGCGTATAGTATTTTATTTTTAAATAATAATTAAAAAACACTCGTAATATTATGTATCTATCATTTTTTTTTTTGAAAAACTTGCGCGAAATGTTGAAATGGTATGCTATTTTACGTTGTTTTTTGTTATACTTCTACAATGACATTTAAATAATAAAATATTATAAAACTTTTATTTTATAGGAATTAGAGTTATTTTCGAATGACAACAAAAACTAAAAATTTTGTAAATGATTTTAAATTAAAAGATTGAATAAGCAAAGTTCTAAGTTGAATTGTGCATCGACTCGTGCGATCTCATTTTTTCAAGAAGACAAGTGCGATCTAGTCTCCATCATTATCCCTTGGTTGAGAATGATTCGCCCTCGAATTTGACCCGGTCTTGTCGTCATTTGAATTGCCGCCTCGCAAAGCCACTAATTGCTTAACATTGAAAATGTCTCGTGTGCGAATGCGAGAAGGAAGACTGAGGTGGTACGTATTAGGGGTAAATCTTCTCCATGATCTCGACTGGACCGATTTGATAGGCTCACAACTTGGTATACGCACATGCAGAATATCCATCTAGTGTCAATACGATCCACACAAAATTGCCTACCTCGGAGTCGTAATGGTGATGACGCGCGCAAGACGCTTGTCCACAGCGACCACATCCACAAGATCACACAATGATGTATCATTTTCGAACTTAGGCGGACTATCCACATTGGTTTCCATAGTCAAAACACCCCGGACACGCAGGACAACTCACACCACCATACTTAAACATAGTATTGAAATGCGCTTGGCCGGTTAATGAGTCCAATTCTGGAGCAAACAGAGAATATGTTGTAAGATGCTCTAGTTTTGCAATCATTAGAACTGTCTCTTGGTTCCTCCAGGTTGAGATATGGCATGGTGTTCTACAACGCTTGAAAGGCATCGAACGTGGGTTGAGAACCATTTCCAAGAACAAAGAAAGCACAAAAGCCACGCATGATAGATGAAGAAGAAGTGTCTGACCGATGTCGCCATGCACATACACCTCCTCCAGAGATGGCTCATCGTCGAATACAGGCGGGACTTCATACTCCAAGACGTCGCCGTTGTCAGCGAGCAACGTACGGGAGCTGCCCGACAGAAGGCGCGAGACCTGCTGATGCCCGAGCTTGTCACACGAAAAAACATCTTAGCCCACCGCCAGACCTTGCGCCCGCTGAAGGGTCTGCAGTCGCCGGAGGAGCACCAGAACTGGACACGCTGGATGCGCCAGTGTTGGGCCCATCGCTGCATCCGAGCTGGCGTACGCTGGCGGGAGAAAGGCGGTAGTGGCTCATCGAGAAAGTTGTTGCTACACGAGAAGGGCACGCTAATGCACATAGGAGATCGACGGGAACAAACAAATTCAATGTGTATTGAATCGGAAAACACAACCCGCCGGTACAATGAGAGACGAGTTGATCGATCGTCTCGCGCAGATCGAGCCATGTAAGAAGCTGATAACACTCATTGGTATAATCGTCCACCGAACGCGACCCTTATCTCAAATTTTGTAAACACTGATAAATGGTACGCGGATAATTAAAGGAGAGGAACTCACGTTCTATGTGCTTCTGAAACTTCGCCCTAGACGTAACTTTCGGTTTTCTAGGCTGGCGCCGCGAGTTCTTGTGATGTTGCCACCAAGCGGCGGCCTAACTGCGCAAACGGGTCGCGACCAAAGCCAAGCATCGATCATCCGACACCTCCTTATAGTCGAGGACGGACTCGACTGCTGCCATCTAATCGAGAAACTCCCACGCGACAAAGCCGTCAGAGAACTCTGGAAAGTCGACGTGAAAAAACGAGTCCCACCGACGACCACTGACCCGATAAACATCGTCTCATGTCTAATGAGCAAAAGGGTTGAACTCAGAGAAGGTGTCTTCAACGTCACTCTCTCCGACCTGGGAGTGAGGCGATTGAGAACATGAAGCCCATTGGACCCCGTTCACGACCCCCGCGAATCCTATGGCATCCCCCATCCTGGCCGCGGTTCATCCGATCGCGTGGAACAGTGGTATGGTCGGCAAGACACATCTCGTTGAACACCGCGGCCAAGTCCGCAATCTGACATCCCATGAGATCCATTTGTCGTCCAAAGCCCGTGGTGATCTCCGCAACTTGCCGACCCAACGACTCGATGGCGGCGTCACGCCTTTCGTCAACGGACTCGGTCCTCTTTCGCGGTATCTTTGATCGTACTAGTCTATGGATACCAACTGACGCATCAAGCGTGTACGAAAGAAAACTAAAATAGATAAAGTCAAGATTTCTGTATTAATTCTCAAATTACTTAACTTATCCAATAAGAAGGGACTAGGTAAAATAAATAAAAATTCACCTACCAAACTAAATAGTGTAAAAATAGTAATAATAATAAGGTGGAAATCAATCAAGAACTAATGAAGCCGATATCGTTTTTTCAAGAAGACAAGTGCGATCTCGTCTCCAATCAGATGGTAAACTTGACAAAATATGCTAAAGCAATACAACAACACGAGCCACCATCATAATCAAGAGAGTAGAAAAAACATTTCACAATATGTATATAATATATAGATGCATAATAATCACAGCAATGTATTATTGCTCTACAATATGAACAACTCTGCACATAGTTGCTTCTGAAAAACAAACAAATGAACTATAAAATACTTATCAATCATGACCTTGCAACACTATCCTGGTTATGCTTTTCATCTTGAAGAAGCCTGTCATTTGGCATACTGGCTAATATACGCACCTTAACATCAAAGGCCGAGATATCATCGAACGCCGCATCATATTCTTCGCCCTTCAAATTGTTATTATTTTGTAAAATATTCACAACGCCTTCGGGACCACAATGTGGTACTTGAACAAAGGGTGTTTTCGTAAAAGGTGCTCCAAGATTGCCACTTGAGTGCAAAAGATTATACCCTAAAAAGATGGACTTAGAAGTAGGCAAGCCATTTGAGGGGATCTCATAATTTTGCCCTATCGATCCTATCATGTGATACTTACGATCATCAAATTCATTCGTCTGCACTATTAGTCTTTGGGAGTTGTTATAGTCAAGAAAAATCGAGTCTTGGATCGGTTGGTATGGCCTTTGTATTGCGTGTATGCCCGGTAAGCTCTGTATGTAGCTTAGTTTTCTTTGTATGCTCGTGACCATGTTTATATCTTCACCGACCTAAAAATGTCACTAAATAATCATAGCTCGATGTTTTTTTGCATGAACACAACATTCGAAAACGAAGTAACTGATCTCACGAGAAATACCCTTTTCGGTTTCATTTATAATAAATCATTCACCTTTTGGAATTAATTAAATTACCTTATCAAACGAGCCGAGTTGAACAGCTCCTTCTTTAACGGATATGATTGCGATCGTCTGCCATACTTAAAAACTTTGTAAAATGCAAAAACAGAAAAAAGGCAGAGAATATTTACTGTAGAAATTTTGCTAACCTCAATGCCTGAGCTGAATTGAGCCTCCCATGCTCTTGGTTGCTGTTAAATATGTAGCAATTGAAGAAATTAAAAGGATTTTTTTTTTTAATGCACTAACTAAAAATATGACAAGATTTGTAAGTTTACAATACTTTCTTACAGGGTCAATGGACATGTTCCATGAAGAGATGAAGCTAAGATCAACTTCTTTTGGGCTGTCTTTATAAACCCATTTGTGGCCGTTATCTGCCGCAACTTTGCCTACAACTCTGCAGCACGAACACAACATCATTATGGACTTAATGAAAACACAGTGTGTTTAGTCATTAGTGTTTACCCTTCTCCAAAATTATAGACTTCATGGGCCATTTTGAAGAAAATATCTGCACCAAATCTTGTACCCGAGCATTTACGTCCTTCTCTTTCGCACTCGCAAAAATCACAAAACCCGTCTTCCCATACAAGAATCCTGCAGACCAAATTGCTATATAGTTGCATTTTTTCTTTTTCTTCGAACAAAATACAAACTTGATCGATATATAGTAGTTTTTTCCAAGAAAATTATTGTACCAGTTTCTTTTATTTCCCTTAGCTCGATCGAGCAGGCTTCCTCCATGATCCCACCTGGAAGAAATACACAACATACACTTATAAAAATGGCACCCTTTTTTTCAGTGACATTTGCATTATTTTGTTTATATATAGCAAGAAAAAAAAAATGGTTGCTTTTACTTGGGAGGTGGATAATTTCTTGGGAGGATTCTCCAAAAGACAGCATATACCCATTTTGAAGGGTTTGAGGAATTAGAAGATTGGGAGCATAAGCTTCTGAGTGTGTGCTGTAATAAGCAGTTGAGCATTGGGAGCCCATTCTCCATTGTTGTTACTCAATGATACAGAGAAAAAAATAAGAAGAGGAGATATGAAAAGAAAAGACTTCAACTAGTTGTGGTGTTTTAACTTTTAGTTCAAAGAGACGCTACCATTAGATCAACTATCTCCGACGGTTACATGATGATCTAACAGTTACAAACTCCGACGAAATGGATCCGTAACGTAACCGCAGCATTTCCCTTAGTTTGAAGGGAAAAAAAAAAAGAAAAAACTAAGTGAGGGCACTGAGGGGGGCTCTCTATTTATTATATACGTAGAGAAGTATACTTGAATTAGGGGAAATAATAAGCACAAGATCCACATTTCATTCCACCTCATTAGAAACAAATAAAATGAAAAGAACAAACAAGGAAATTTGTAAATAAATTTGGTTAACATATAAAATAATGGTGGGTTATCTAATTAATTTTATTCTCAACTTTTTTTTTTCATTTAAATGTAGAAAACAACCATTATACTTTATATTAATTAACTAATATTTTCTAATTATTCTAAAATATTATAATTATTACTAAAATTAACTAATTATAAATTAATATTAAAAGATTTATAAAAGTTGCACACTTACAAAACATTTTATAAGAAATTTTTTTTGTTCAGGCTATTTATTTTAAATTTGTATTATCTTTTTATTTTTATCTCTTTAAACAGTTTTTGAAATAGCTAATTGATTCTAATGGCATAGCAAACCTCTTAAAATTGTAAAAATTACATTATTCGTTACATTTTATTCAATCTATATAATAATATATATATATATATATATATATATATAAGTAAAATAGTTTATGATCATATTATTCATTTTTACTCATGATCAAATTTATAAAATGTGACAAAACACATTAAGGATGTAAATGGGTCGGGTTGGGTACGAGTTTTGGTGACAAGACTCATTATCTAACTTATGATTTTAAAAATAATATTCATGCATATAACTTATAGTATTTTATTTATATCTGGAATGTACTCAAGATTAAGCACTAGAAAATTCCTATTATAGAAATTAGTTTGTTGGTTTATTCTAATGTATCTTGCCTTATTTTAACGTGAAGACTGAAGATATGTCATACGATTTTTTTATTTTTTTATATTTTGTTAAGAATAGCGAACTGAAAAAAAAAAAATATATTAAAAAATACATAAATAAATAAATAAATAAATAAATAAAAGGAAAAGAACCAACAGGATGTTCCTTTATTGCCTGCCTCATTTTAAATGATCACAATTAAATGTTCATCACCTAAAAATTTTGATATAAGTTTATGGGCCAAAAGCTTTGGGAAAATCTTGACAGCTTTAATGCACAAAGGTGACAATATGTGTATCGTTGTGGTCCTTGTGGACCAGAATTCTGCAAATTTGAAATAAACGATAGTTTAAACTTTAAGTAGAGTATTCCACCACCGACAACCTAAGATTTTATGTAGAATTGTTAGGGCAGCAAATGAGCCGAGTCGAGTCAAGCATTAACCTTATCGACCATAATTGATTTTTTTTAGCTGCTCGAGCTCGATTTATAATGCTTGACTCGATAAAAAATACAATAGCTCAAACTCGGCTCGAGTTTGGTTCGAATTTCTTCAACCAATTTTGTAAAATTGTCATTAATTACATATATTAAAATTATGGCACATCTATAAAGGGGTATTTTAGTAATTTAACATATATTGTGCTGAAGAACCGCTTGATAATGCAAAATAAGGGTTCGAACTCGACGTGAGTTCATGCTTGAGCCGCTCGAGCTCGACTCGAGTTCGGTCAAACTTCAGCTCGAGATGAGCTTTGACTCAATCGCTCACGAGCTGCTCGATTCATGTGCGACTCTACCTATAAGCACAAGAACCGCTGTATAAACATCTAGAGTATTAATTCTCAGCTTATAAGCACCAGGGGTGACATTTTTTATGCATCATTATGTTATAGATTTGACTTGTAATTTTGATCCCAACTTGCGCTGCAAACGAACCAAGCGGCTCGCAAGCGGTCTCAGGTTTAACCCAACTCGAGCAAGTTATCGAGTCGATCTCGAGCATAATATTAGGAAGGCGAGCCGAACATATAATTACTAAAATACCCCTTATATATAAATATTACAATATTGTATATATGTACTTAATGGTAATTCTACTTGAAATTCGAGTCGAACTCGAGCCGAGCTCGAGCTATCTGCCGAGAATTTTGACTTCAATCGGTCTCGAGTCGAGCTCGAATGATTGTCTTCTTGTCGAGTCGACTTCGAGCTTCATAAATCGAGTACCACATACGGATAAGATACTACCACATACGGATATAATTACCAACCCAACAAGCCTTATATATTCCGTATTATTATTTTCATTCGACCAGTAAAAAGATTCGAAAACTAGCTAAAAAGGCCTTTGTTCTACAGTTGTTTGCACCAGTGAGAACGTATGGCCATGAGAACGTATGGCCATGCAGTTAGTGTGTGGTCCTCTCTAAAAATGGATTGGGTTCTTTATCACTTGACGCAGGGCAACTTCTATTGTCCATAAAACAGAGTTTGATTTCAGCCTGGGTGTCTCTGCTACCATGACAAGACTCCTCAAACACAAATAAAATCCCAACAGACATTCATCTAATTATGTTAAATAAGGTCCCCTCAGGTTATAAAGTCTTCATTATTAGCATCATTAAGAAAAAAAATTCCTAAAATATGCATGTTTTTGCTCCACATAAAAACGCGTAATTTAAACTAGATTCAATCAGCTACAACTATTCATATCAGTAAGAACCGACACCACCTAATGGCTAGCAAAACCATTGTTAAGGACTTTATAATTGAAAAACAGAAACAAGTATTAAAGAACAAAATACAGAATAACCTTAAGCAAAAATTTGTATGATGAGCAAGAATCCACATTTTTTGAATAGGGAAAACCGGGGTCACTAGCAAGAGACTAGTAAAATGGTGGTCCTCTACCTTATTTATCAGTGAGTGCCAGAGCACCCATCAAAAACTTGCCAAGCAGGCCCTATTGTCGTTTTCAATGGTTTTTCTTTTTCTTTTTATTATTATTATACCATTTTCATTTAGGTGCAATTAATCAGCTCATGATCATCTCCACAGCTTTGGTTTAAGCTTTCAGAATGTTAATGGTACAAGCTAAAAGTTTAAATCATCGAGTATCAGAGATCACAATAAGATGCTCTGCAAGTATATCCCTGGCAAATACCGATTGCAAGTTAACTAATGCCGACAATTATTATTAAAAATATACACATATATATATGTATATCATTATGGTTGAGCAATTATGCTAACAATTTACTGTCTCAATTAGCTAGAGTAAGTGGTTTTATGACCCCTTATGTAACATAGTACCCCTCCACATGATATCAAAGGTGAAAATAATGCACCCAAATTGTGGAGTCTAGTACAAAATTACAAATACTTGACAGCTACAAATTCTCGTTCTACAGGGACATCATATGCCCGTGGACCTATTCGTCATACAATAATAACAAGCCCTACATTCTCCCTTATCTTTTATGTCCCAACTATTTCAATAAGAAAACTCCAATTGGTGCTCACCACACTTATGTAGTGTTTCACTTATTTCAATTGATGCCCATTGTTTGTCATCTATTTGTGTTCAAGTCCTTTCCCACAGCTTATTTTATAGTCAGATTAGTTTTTTTTTATTGGCTGAAATGCACTCGTCTAAAAAAAGCCTGCCGGAAGCGGAGTGACCAGAAAAGTTTATTTATTTATTTCATCTCTTTGAGATTAAAGATAGGACCACTATGTGATGAGATACATCAATGTTTTAGGTATGCAAATACAGTGAATGGAAAGTAATGTAAATCTAACGGCAATTCTACAGTTTATCTGAAAGTGAATCAATCTATCGATCAAATGGCATATAAAGGAATATGATTCACAAAAATGTGATAGCAGCGGCAGGAGATAACTAATGGCGGCTAAAACGTGGTAAATAAGTTTTACTAAAAGGTAAACTAGTGAGCTACATTTTCCACTGATTGACCCTAAAAGAATACAACGGCAACATATACTGTTGACCCTATAACATAAGTACATCTTCAGAATTTTTAGACCCCAATCTACCTGAAGAATTTAAGGCCTTGCAGTGCTCGACTCATCAGTTGGGGCTGCCTTCTTTCCATAACGCTGAATGGTAAATTGTGAAAATATATATTAAGATAAGCAGAGAGTTCATAATAAATTAATAATCAAGATAATAAAACTGAAAAATGGAGAAATATAGTGGGTATTACAAGTTTATAATCAGCTGAGTGAGAAACACACCTGCTTCCCTAGAGTAAATGGGACATATTTATATTTAACCATATGCATTATTTGCCTCTTCATGGTCGAAATGAACAGAACCAACCAGTAGAGTAGCAGAATTGGCCAGAATACAGGCACGTCAAAGGCGCTAAAAAATGTCAGCAGAAAAGCAATGCAAAAGGCTTTCATGAGCGAATGCCTGCAATTGGGGAGAATCAAATGATCAGTCCATGCATTTTCTTGACATAAATTAGGAACAAAAGATAGTGATGAATTTATAACCTCCATTATGATTCCAGGAGTTCCGGCCCCTTAGCTAATTCTTTTCCTTTTTCATTTATTTATTAATATGACTTGGGTGGCATGCATTACAAGATCATATCTATCCTGGCTACAAATATTCAAGGTATAAAATGACTCAATTCAAAAGAAGATACACTCAGTCCAAATTTTTTTTATCCTATTTATGTCAATGTAGATGGCCAAATAAAGCCAACATTAACATATCAAACGAAACTAAAAACTCATACCTCAGCAGCAATCTTATATTCCCAAAGAACATAACATATAATGTCATTCTGCCTGCATGATATATGGCCCAAGTGAAAGTGCCCCCAGTCAAAAAAGTTGCATACAAAAAATGATCACATATTCAGTCTTTAGATATTATATAAGCACGTGCAAGAAGTTCTACATAAATACTGGATCCGG